CTCGCTGTGTATTCCAGGCTGACCTTCACTCACTGTGTGTCTGGGGAGATCTATAACTCATGGCTATCCTTCCTCTTCAGTTTGCCATATCCTGGGATTACAGGTGTGTGACATCATTCCCAGCCTACAATTGATTTTTGCATTCTGGTCCTGTATATTGCCAGATTTCAAATGCATTAAAGCATATGCATGTGTACAAGGTCTCTTTCTGTAGTCCAGGCTGGCCTTGAACTCATTATGTAGCCCAGGCTCCTCTCCAACTCATGGAGATCCTCCTGCTTCAACCTCCTGAGTGCTAGGATTATAGGCATGGGGTACCATGCTTGGTTCAGAAGTCATATTCTTAAACTGTTAGATTTTCCTAGAACACTTAAATGTTTATAGATTATAATGGATTTATTATAGGAAGAAAAATATAGTGTATGTTTTAAATGCAAAACATTTAAAAATATGTTTTTATGGTAAGGAATAACATATAAGAAGTAGAAAGTTTATGGTTGATCTTTTAATAATTTTGCAGTTATTATTTTCTATATTATTGTACTAAGAATACCTTTCTTTATATTATTTTTGAATGTGAATCACTTTCAATTGCTACTTCAAATTAAAAGATCATTTGTCACAGAAAGGGTGGGGAAAAATCAATCTTCTGACAAAGAAATATCTTTGAAAAATTATTTCATAGGATATTAAAGTATACCACAATCACTGTCATCATTAAAGAAGCATGCAATACACAGGAAGTTCTAGAATGCTACTTATAATGGAGAATTATTATTAATAATTCCATTATTTGCCAGTTTACATCCTCCCCTGACAAAGGGAGACTTTTCAATATAATTTAGTTGAAATAGGCTGCTTATTGGGAATTATCCTTATAAGTAATCATTTCTATGTAAAATTAAATATATAACTAAGGAAACCATAGCCCCTGGAAGCTCTCTTAGCTTGGGAAACACATCTAAAGAGAAATTGTTACTGTCTGCTGGCGTTTCACAGCCAAATACTCCCTGCTTTGATATATAATTTTTTAAACATCTCTCCCACCTGTTAAAATGAATGTTTGACTCCGGAGACTCACATACGGTTTGGGAAGTGTTTGGAAAGCCACTCTAGTTCTAAACAAGATTAGAAATAATAGACCCGTATAAATTTTTAAAGACTATGCCTGAAACCTGGTGTATAGTATAAAATATACCTCTGGCAATGTCCTTTGTAACAATTATGTAGACTTTAAGGTTCACATGATTCCACAGGGCGCTGACACCTCAGCATAAGTCTGCTTTCCTTGCTTTTATAATGGGAACTTCAGCAGTGGGGCAAATTTACCCAGGTGGATAGCTTGATAAAGTCTTTCCTTGTAATATCGCCTATGGTTTATGCCTGAGAGAGTGAATTTCCTGTCCAGTTACAAATTGGAATTCTATCTCTTTGCGGTATTTTTGTCATAATGCTTTGAAAGCTCCAGGGCTGTCACCATGGCCGGAAGCTTTGCTGGGAGTGCTAACCTGCAGTGAAAAAGCCAGTGAATCCGCTCACTAAAGGACTGCAGATGTATCGAGACTTGAAATGGACCATAGGGTCATAAAGCACCTGTAGCTCAGGCTGACTGCCAAGGAGCCTGGCACAGCCAGAAACCACCTTGCTTCCTTTTCAGCACAACAGTAACTTCCGGTCACACCACCCATACGGTGCCTGGCTTGGTGGATTAGTGGTGCTGTTGGCTCTATTATCAGCCATCACTCATACATCAGCACACTGAGTCAATTATTGAAATTTGTCTGCCTCTGCCTGCAGTTATATATACCTTCGTCTATCTCAGGCATGGAAGCTAGTGGTCCTGGATTTCTGACTTCAAAGGACTAATAACTTCAGTCTCTTATTTTCAAGAAGAAATAAGTGGCTTTAAGAAAACTTAGGCTGCCCAGTACTCAAATATCTACTTCCTTTAAGCAAAAGAATGCAGACCTTCAAGCTCATATTCTCTGTTTGCTAGGACTCCAATTCTGGTACTTTTGTGGTATTTTTGTCTGTTTTTGTGTTCACTAAGAGAGAGATGGCATAGAACAGCATCCAAGAGTCTGAGCTCTGGGGACACACTATGGAGTTTCAAGTTTGCCTGGAATGTGGCAACTAGTGGAGTGTGGCCAACACGTTTAACTTCTTTTCATGCCGTTGCTTGCGCATCATGGTCACAGTGAAAGCACCACCTTCTCAGCTGTTATGCTCCTGCAGAATCCACAATACCATAAGGACGTAGTCAAGTTTTCGCAAATTAGCTGCTGTCATTCAATGAGTAATTTACTAAAATGTAACAGATGTATACTTGGTACCTACCACAAGCCAGATAATACTGTAAATGTGAAAATGAAAACAGAGGAACATTACTACTCTGCCCCTCGTCACTCATCACCTCAACTAAACAGAGGAAAATAATCTCACGAATGTTTCTCAAAGGTATTAGTACTATTAATAAAAATTAGAGGAGCTGTGCTTGAGAAGAATGCCAAAGGTTAAACAAGTCTTGATAAATTCATGAGTACCATATGTACTACAATATGATACATAGTTTTATAGTTTTCATGTTGTAAATTTCTTATTAAATGTTAGAACTCAAAAAAATCAGAATTCAAGGAAAAATATGGTTCCTAAAATGTACCTAGTCACCAAAAATAGTCATTATTTTAATGAAAAAATTAACAGAAATAATTACTAATATATATATATAGAAAATATATAGAAATAATATGTAATATATAAAGAAAACTAAGCAAAAAGTGAAAGTAATTGAACAGGAGAGATATAAGGAAAGAGAAAGGAAAGAGGTGAATGCACAGACATGTAGCAGAAATACAGCAGATTAAGAGAGAGTATTGAGATCCAAAAGTAAGAAGAGGCTATTGGCCTGAGGAAAAAGAGAAATCTGTTGCACATTGTCCTCTGCAGTTAACTTCACTCTTATTCTCATATTCTGCATTTCTTTCTTGCTTCTGGAGGTGTCAGCTGTGGCTGAGCTGGGGCCTGGCTTACAAAGCAACAAACTTCCTATGTAATTTTCAAATATTTCACCAGTAACCAGCCATTAATGATTTAATGTTGTCATCTTGTACACACACCCAGAAAAACTGAGAGAAGATCTACCATAAGTAACCAGAATTTCTAAACTATTTCTGTTACAGCTGATCACAACTCAGACATTAGAAGCTTTTCACTTCTAAAAGGAAGCTGAACCTGAAACGGAGTAATAGCAATGATTAATATAGCCAGTTGCCTACATCAAACGTGTTTATATTTGGTTCAAAATCTTTAGAGAAAGGAATTTAGATGTCAACACTTTCTAAAATCTACTATTTAATACCTCACATCTACAAATCATTGGAGGAGAGAACATTTCATAAATTAGGAAAGAAAAAATACAATCTGATTAGTGATACATGAACAACTATTTGAACTGAATAACCCTTAACTCTGAAGCAGATGACAGTGGGAAGAAACATGGATGAAAAAGAAATCTCAGAATACTATGGCACTGTGGAGGTTAATGTACAAATTTCAAAACAGATAAAGAAAATATGACCATCTTGCTAACATGGGCTTATTGAAAATAAATGTAAATATCCTCTGATCTGCTAATATATTGTTGTTCCACAAAAAGAATAGTTTATGTTAGATATTTGACTTTGAATGTTAAGAATAATATTAAATCAATTTGTGATTTAAATTCTGTTTTCTAAATGAGTGGTATCCAGTAGGAAATAATGCAATCAAAAATGTAAACTGCATATAGAATTTTAGTTTTTTAGTAAGCACATTAAAAATACAAAAGTAAGAGAACATAATTTAATTTATATATCTATTTAACATAGTCTATCTGATTATCAACATGTACAAAATAATAAAAATAGACTGTAATTTCCCACTAAGTTTTTGAGATTGCTGTGTAGTTTAATATTACTTTAAATATTTGTCCCAAGTTACCAAATTTCAATGACAAACCTGTGTGTAACTAGTAACTGCATATTAGGCAGTGTGGATCTACATTAATTATATGAACATTAGTTTCTCTCAGTTGGAAAATGTAATAAAATACATACAACTTAGCTTTTTGTTAGTATCTAACCTTCAGACAGTAGACAAGTTAGGATACCTTTCTTTCCTTTAACACTGTTCTTCTAGAATTCATATGTGTATAATTTTTGGTCACTGCTTACATGGTGAATTATTCCCATACTAATATGTAAGTTATAATCTTCCTGAAGAATGCTTTGTTCATATTTATTATATGCTATAGAATTGAACAAACTTTGGCCTGATCATCAGCTGACTTATTGACAAATGTCATACTTATAGACATTTAATTAAACCTGCATTGATTTTGGTTTATTTCCTTGTTTTGGTTTTTCCGGCCTCCAACATTTAGGTCCCTTGGAAACCTCTTAAGCCCTGGGTGTTGTTCCTCCAGTGCCAGGTGCATAAAACCACTCTGCTTCAAGCCCGTTTCCCAAATATCTGCTTGCAAAATGCAAGAGTGTTCCTCGCCCTACAGCCCTAGGTGGTAATTGTAAACTACTGTAAACTTTTGTCAACATTAAGTTTTACCGTCAGGATAGAGCTGATGTTGCAAACTTAAACTCTAAAGAGCTCCTTTTGAAAACAGTAATTTGTATGCACTCCTTGAAATTATTATTGAATTATTGAAATCATTATTGCATTATTATATATTGAAAATATATTGCTTCTCTTTAAAATATACTTTTTGCTGCAAAGTAACTGCACATTTTTAAAGTCTGTAAAGAACACAGGTAATTTATCTAAATTTTAAAGGGAATTTATCTAAACTTTAAAGGGCAAATAACAGTGAGAATTTCACAATACATTTATTCAGGGTCTGCCCTCTTTGCTTGTTTTTTTTTCAGTGCTAGTGTATGTAATGATACTTTTGATGAATGTCATTATGAAATGTTATTAATTTAATGTATCTTTGTTAACCTATTTTGCAGGTCCCTTTAGATGGAATGTAATAGAACAGAAGCCTCAGACAGATTAATGCCTGAATTAAATTATCTGCAGTAAAACAGAGAGCTGAGTGCTGAAGCCCACAGACACCCCAAACCTGGGTCCCACAAGTCTGCGTTAAGCTCTGGAGTTTTGATAGGTCTGCTGTAGGAAAGCCTTTGCCAATGCTTACAAGGAACTGTCTGTCCCTGCTTCTCTGCGTCCTGTCTGGTGGAGGTCTCCTAACACCCCTTCAAGCACAACCACAGCAGACGTCAGCCACAGAGCCGCGACAAAATGCTGTCCACCTGCCAGGTCGACAGTCCCATTTCCAACGTGTTAAACGTGGCTGGGTATGGAATCAGTTTTTTGTGCTGGAAGAATACATGGGCTCCGAGCCTCAATATGTGGGAAAGGTAATGAATGGCGTTTCTTTTGACAACCGCTTGACAGGAAGGGGGAATGTGAATTGGGTATTGCGTATGAATGTTTTTCACAGGAGTCGACAAAACCAGTGACTAGGCTGCTAGAATTGAAACCCAAGAGACCTGGTTTCTCTTCCTGTCTCAGTGGCCTGGGTAAGCTGTAGAATACCATTTAATACCACTTTACTTCAATTTTCCTTGGTTATTTCAATGAAAATTTTATATATATGAATATGTGGGTGTATTTTTTCACCTTTGCTATTCTTCAATGAAGGTATGACATCAATATACTGTAATGTCATTAAAGGTATAGTTATCGCTCACAGTTACACTGGAATTGTTTAGGAATCAGAGTCACAGTGAAAAGTTAGCAGGCATGTATACTCTAAATTAATATTGCTTAGCTTGAATCATGGAAAGTATTCCTTCTCTGGTAACCTCAAAATATAACATTTTCTTTGGATTTTAGTTTTAAAGTATTTGATTTACCAGCCTTACACTTTATACTCCTTTTCTCTATCAAAGAATTTCAAAAAATTTACTTTTTAATTTTTTAGAATTTTATTATACTTTTCTAAATTTTTTGTCTTATGAGTTTTAAAGAAACATATAACCTTGAGGAGAACTGAAAAATAAATCCAGACAGAAATGGAAAATCATAACAGGGAGATTATTTGAAAATGGATATAGAAGATCTTGACTTTTGACCATTGAATCCCTCCCTGAGCTTTCTGAAAACTTTAACAAAAGAGAACATGATATCTCTTATATGGATTTCAATGTTCAATTAAGTAAAACATATCCATTCAAGGTCTATATTCCTTTGCTACATTTTTGAAATTTGCCCTGTGGAAACATATTTAATATTTATTGAATAATACACTAGAGAAGGTCTTCCAATAGAAGCTTTGTTGAAATGAACATAATAATCAGGGCTTACTGTGAGGAGTATGTAGCCTCTGGCAAACATTGTTTACAGGACATCTATTAAATTTGAAAACTGAGTCACTGAAATCAGTGTGTGAGTATGCTTCTGGGCATCTAATATCTAATGATCTTAAAAACTATAACAAACACAGGACCATTAGAAAGGATCTATCTACTTGATAGCCTTTCTACTATGATCCAGAGTCTTTTCTTATGATTCTGAGAAAACCCCATAAATATAATCTCTGGACTTTGAGTAGAAAGCCAAAGTGGGTCCAAATGTGCAGAAAGAGTCATCAAAATCGAAGCAGCTCCAAATCAGAGGAAGAAAGCTTGCTCAGATGAGACTGCTTTATGTACAAGAAGTGTCTTTAAAAAATTTAAAAGAGTTGCATAGTCTGTGTGAAGCATTTTGAAGTATGCATTGAAATATCTGTGGTTATTCTTTTAAGCTCTGCTTATATCATATCCAAATGATCATGAAATATAACATCTACTAGAAACATTTACGTAACAGGACAATTTCATGTACTTCTAATACAATGAAATTTGTACAATCAGTTTTTTGAAACTTAATATAAACAGTGTTTTTAAATCTAAGACAAGTGAAAGAATATCATGGTTCTAAAGCTACTTTGCAGGTAAAAGTTTGCTTATAACAGAAGACAGAAATCACACTGGGTTCCTGGAAAATTTTTCTGTGAAAGTGTTCTCTGTTTTTGGCTGAATCAGATCCATACATATCAGTTGCCAGAACTGGAGTTGGTAGTCAGTGGTTTGTTGAGAAAGACATTTTTATTTATCCTGGATAGAATACCATTTCACTTCCCAATGGGCATAATTGAAACAGATCTATGGCTTTGATAATGAAAGTTGTAGTTTTTTTTTGTTGTTGTTGTTGTTGTTGTTTTGTCTTTTGTCTTTTGTCTTTTCTTCTGGTACCAAGAATTGAACTCACAACCTTGCGTTTGCCAGGCAGGCGCTTTGCCACTGAACTAAATCCCCAGTCCTGAAAGTTGTAGTTTGATATTGCCAAATGCCACTATTTTAACTCTTGGGAGTATATGCAATTTATCCAGTTAACTTAAAAGACAAATTAGTATTTGCAAATCTTATATAAAAAGGTATAACATTCAACTTATGATTACATGGAAGCAGCATTATTTCTACAGATACATGGGAACAAACTCCATGGTTCTCAGATGCATTTTTCATTTCAGTGAAACATCAGCTGCCAAAATTTTCTTTCCACAAGGAAACTAATTAAAGTTTAATTAACTCTGTGTTGATGCTTCTAGATTTGGGAATAGAATTATGAGAGTGTGGAGACTGATTCAAAGCACTGTAGGTATGTATGTAAAAATATATAAAAAGATTCATATTTTTGCTTTTTCTAGAAAGGCTGTAGATGGCCAATGGAAAAGTAAATTACTGTGAACAGTACAGATGTCAGTGCAGGGGCTGGGGATTTAGCTCAGCGGCAAAAGCGCCTGCCTGGCAAGCGCAAGGTCGTGAGTTCGGTTCCCGGTACCGGAGAAAAACAAAAAAAACAACAAACAGATGTCAGTGCAAAAGAAAAAGGCAGAGCAAGAGGCAAATGGACGAGGGAGAACCAGTGAGGTTCATATTTGACTTCCTATTTTCTTGAGAAAAAAGCTTGTGTGGAAAATGTTAATTACCATAGTTATTATTATTGAAATCTCCACTTATTTAGCTATAAAATGATTTTCCTCCATCCTAATCTAAGATTATGTCCTCATATTTATAAAGGAAGCTTTATGTGGGTTGCTGGACGTTTGTCTTAACAATAGTTTCATCCTATGTGGTTTTCTTGAAATGCTGACACCCTTTCAACTAAAATAAAACTGTGACACTCTTTGTAATCAATGATAGTTACTCTTTTTTCAAAGATGTCATAGGAGAATCTGAAGATAAAGCTGATGCTTTTCTCTGAAGAGTGTTTTGAATTTACTGTTAGAGAAGAATTAAGGTTTGACACAGTAAAGTATGAGAGAAATCAAATTTATCCTAAAAATGAACTCAGTTATTGCCAATTGCTCATAATATACAAGTAAAAACCTGCTTTACAGGTTTACCCACACATCCACATGTATGAGGACATAGACTCAGGGGTGCACTGATAGTTGCTTACGCTGACACCCATAATAGCATCCCTGGGTGTGTAGTACTAACGTTTGCCCTCTTCTCACAGCTGGGTATCAAGACAATGCTTCCCCTTTTATCATCAAAGAATAATTTAGGAAGCAGAATTGTCAATTAAGATGAATTGCAATTACCAGAAATCCTTTAGTGTAAGTTTTTTAAAAGGAGGAAACTATTTTGAACTAAAACATGCACAGAGATAGCTTCAGAGGCACCCTTTTTCTCAGCACTTTTCTGATGGAGAATGTGTTATGTCTGAAGCCTTGTGGGGATAAATATAAGTATAAAGGTCCCTAGATTACTATGATAACAGGTAAGTTTTATTGAGTACTTCCTTTGGGCATTTTTAATTGTTCTACATGCATGAACTTAGACAATCTTCAAACAGCAGTAGGGAGGATATTATTAGAATCTTTATTTCATATGTCAGAAAGCTCAGGCAGAGAAAAGTTAAGTGGCTTCCATATGTAGGAACATCCTTACATTCCAAAGCTAAAATTCTACACCAAGCAGTCTAGCTTCATTGCACCAGAAAAATATCAGTGCATGCCTCTCAATGACTAACAAATTATTTCAATATTTTTAATAAATGTACTATCTTAGAGACACAGTTAGGCCCTCTAGGAACCCAGGAGGATTTGTGACCATACACAAAAGATGGAGAAATTAAAGAAAGGCCCCACAAATGTATAAGCACAGGGGAAAATTCTTTGGAAATTTTGATTTTCCTTTTTGAAGAGCAGCATGGGGTAAAAATTTTGTAAAAGTAAAGGATTAAAATAAAGTGAGCCACCATAACGATCTGACAGGATAGCCAAGGTGTGTGAAGCCAACTTTTTAAAGTAAGAAAATAGGGATAGTATGGAACAGCTTAATTCTAATCCACAAATAAGTAGTATTTGCTCTAAAAGAGTCAAGATCCAGAAAAAAAAAATCTTGTTTGGGAATTAGCATGGAAGAACTGCATTTCTAAAATGACCCCGGAGACAGCCATTTATGTGGGACACGGAGATGAAAATACAGATTGGGAGTATTTGTAGAAGGTCAAAGTATGTTTCTTTCAGAAGTAATGAAGGAAAAAAAAAAAAAAGAAGTAATGAAGGGATGGTGATATTAGAGTTGAAATTTGAAAGATGAAGAGAAAAATATCAGCAAGATCTCTTGGCCATGGATTTATAGAAGATGAGACAGATTTCAGGATAATGCAGATATAAAATCTTTAAAAATGAATGGATAGGGGCTGGGAATTTAGCTCAGCAGCAAAAGCGCCTGCCTGGCAAAGGCAAGGTCTTGAGTTCAGTTCCCGGTACCGGAGAAAAACAAACAAACAAAAAAAATGAATGGATAATTGCATATACAGAATAAAAGAGAAAGAAGAGTAAAAAGTCAGAGATTCATGATTTCTCTTTTTTTTAGCTTCTTATAAAGATTTAGTGTTAGAATGTAGAAAAATAATCAATCCTGGATATTATGTTCTTATGTACAAATACCCAGGAGAATTATAGTAAATACTTACTTACATTAATCTAGAGTCCATGAAAGAGTATCTGGCATGTAGACAGTAGTTAAAATCACCTAAATGGATAATGCACTGCAGGGAGAAGCCTATGTCATGGAGGGGTAAAAGAATGATGATTTTTAATTGAAAAGCAGATGAAGAACTAGTTCTTGCTAATAAGAAGTAAAATATCAGCATTGTAATAATGTCATAGAAGATGAAAGAAGAGAAAGTTTTAAGAATAAGAAATGACAAAACATGTTGAGGCGTACAGGTCTAATTAAATCGTTATTGAAAACTGCCATTGGTTCTTGGAATCAGTAAGTCAGATGTGTCCTTTATCAAAATGAATATTGTGATTTTCTTTAAAGCTTAAAGCATGGCAAAAGTAAGGGTACAGGTT